CTATGAAAGAGCTAGAAAAGATTCTAAAATGCAAAGATATACAACTAAACACAAAAGTGAGAACTGTACAACCTATTGTATTCTCTGTTACCATGTATGGATGTGAGAGCTGGACAGTGAAGAAAATGTATGGGGAAGAAAATCAATGTATTTGAGATGTGGTGCTGGAGAAGAGTGCTGAGGATCTCATGGACAGCCAAAAGGACAAACAAGTGATTCCTAGAGCAGATCAAACTGGAAACCTCCCTGGAGGGCCTATCCAGAGGTCTAGTCTAATTATGCAATTGCACAGAATTCTACCAATGCTTGTCCGACCTATAACTCTGATAGTGGCTATTCCTTAAACACTGCACACTTATTTCACAACAGCACAATGCTGCCACAACACACTGTTTATTCAAATCCCACAAGATACAAAAACATTTCAGGGAATCTCTGCTGGAAGCAACATTATTTGAAGAAATGGCATGAAGCTCTAGGATGATTTCACAGCTGAACACCACAGCGCAGGGAAATATGCTGATAAGTCATCATTAGGAGGAAGGGAATGAGAAAAATGAGATTGAGAACTCACATTCATACATTTTCAGAAGCAATTTTTTCTTGTGTCAGCATAGTCCAGGTAATGATTCAGTTTTCCCATATACAATGGTAGTTGATTCATTTTGGTCTGAATCTGGAATAGTGTGGTGTATGGGAAGAGATAGTCTAGATTTAGAAGGCACCAGTTGTAAAGTTCCTGTTGGTCTCACATGTGTCAAGTGTGTTAACTATTATTAATTAAGCTTACTGTGCCCCACAGAGTTGTCCCTATGAGAATGCAATAAGGGAAGAAAGTATCTCAGCCCCAGAGCTTGGAAAGCTACTATTAAAAGTAACAGATTTATCTTGTTTTATATTAGAAGTGACATTGGATTATGACTCTGGCAACCAGGGTTCGAATCCCAGTTCAGACATGTAAACCCATTCGGTGACTTTGGCCAAGTCACACTCTCTCAAAATCAGAGGATAGCAATGGCGAACCTCCTCTGAATAAACTTGCCAAGAAAATCCCATGATAGGGTTGCTGTAAGTCAGAAACAACTTGGGCACACAACAGCAAGTGTTTTATTTTATGTTGTTATGTGCCTTACAGTCAGTTCTGATTTACGGTGACATTGTCATAAGGTTTTCTTGCCAATATTTATTCAGAGATTATTTGCCATTGCTTTCTTCTAAGGCCTGAGAGAGTATGACTAGCCCAAAGAAACCAAATAGGACCCAAATCTCTCAACTGTGTTATCCACAATGTCTTCTGGACATTTTCAGAACCTCAATGTAAAAATAATTTTGTAAATATTATAGTGCCTTTGAAATGCAATGATAAGAACCGTAAATAATAGGAAACTGGGGAAGGAGGTGTTTTGGTGTCTATGATTTCTAAGGACCTCTGCAGACCGGCCCAAAGGGCCAGCCTGGAGGCAGAGATGGGGTGGGGCAGCTACACGCTGGCCGCCCCAACCCCACATCAATGCCATCTTGATGCTGTCTCTGATCTCTGACAAATCCATAAAAATTAAACCCACATTACAGTAACTAGATATATGAGCCCTATGTCTAAATAAATCACATGACTAGAGGCATCCATCTCATTGGGACCCTCAGAAATTGCCCTCAATTCCTGTTTTAAAACCAGGGCCAGAATCTTGTTGAAGATTTACATGTGCATAAATACTTGTTTGGTGCATCACAGTGAATTCAATCCAGATCACCCCAAGATCCACTTACTGGGAAGGAGCCACTGTGATTGACATAGATCTGTTCCCATGTGGATTGGGAAGCAGCTTATTAACAGTCCCATCCCCACCCATTAAGCAGTGCGCAGTGTGACAGGCAGAAGCAGGAACCTATTGCAATTTCTCCTCATACCAGGAATCATTTGCATGAGGGAAGGTGGGACCATCAGCCATCTGTTTCACATTCAACATGGGAATATATCCACATCCATCACAGCTGCTGCTTCCTGGAAGTGGAAATTGGGGGACTTTCATGGTTCTTACCACGAGCGGCGGCGTGGGCCG